AGGCTTTGAGGGGGGCACTTTTCGGGAAAAAAAGGGCATCTAAAAATTTTCCGGACATACCACATTTTTTCCTAAATACAACAAAATTTTCCGGCTATATGATATATTTCTCGAAAATGAAAAAAAATTTTCGCAAATAACATAGATTCAAAATTGCTCTTTGGGCAAAAAATGCAATCTTAATGGAAAATTTTCAGGCAAAAAAGGGCACTTTGCTCCCGGAAAAAGGACACTTGGCAAAACTTGGGGGGGGGGGGGCGGTTCCTACACCCCTGCTCGCAAACCAGAATCTTAAAGAGTTCACAATTTTGTCGATATTTCTTAACTTTGGGAATCAAAGCACAAACAAATGACAAACAATGCCAAAGAAACATAAGACAACGTCGTGAGGTTTTCGCATTAATAAACTGTCGAATACTCTTCGACATTGGAGACATGCAGAATTTTTCCTGCCATGCAAGCAATGTACTTTTATATAGGACAATCTTTATGTATACTATATTTAAAAAAATATTCTGTAGACTGTACATGCGTTTTTTGACCCAATGCAACTAAAGCGATTTAGCAAGCTTGTCCATGCAGATACACGCAATATATAGGTCATTTTATGCACATTTTTAGCATTATCAAAAATCATGTTTCGCTCGCTACTCTGGTTTAAATAAATGATTACAAAGCCCAGTCGAATTGTAATCAAGAGTCAAGACCCAACGTTTCGACACTCCAGTCTAGTGTCTTCATCAGGGGTGATCTAAAATTGCAATCGTGGCTTCTTAAAATACCCAAGGGATGACGTCACCTGCCAATGAGATGCGTATATTCCTCTGGCAAATAGGCACCGTCATCCCTATTCAAAGCATGATTACTCATATTTATATGCCACGCTTCTAGGCAAAGTCTTTGACCATAGCGATTATTTGTGGTAATTACTTTAGAGTTTTCCCACGCAATCTCGTGTTTGGTGTAACATACATGTTCGGCTAAAGCTGATTTTCCCTTGTCTAAAGTTGAAACAGCCTTTTGATGTTCTTTTAGCCGTGTACCAAACTGGCGTTTAGACTAACCCAAATACTCTTTCTCGCAGTCACCGCCATGCGCCCAGCTCGATCTCTTCCGAAAATTAAGGCTATGCCTTAATTGTAAAAAGCGTTCAAATTAAGACATTGCCTTAATTTTAAACATAATCCCCACCCTAACCCCCACCCTAACCCCCACCCTAACCCCCACCCTAACCCCCACCCTAACCTCTAACCCCTAACCGCTAATCCTAATCTAATCTTAGTCTAATCCAATCCAAATCTGGCGACTTTTTTTTTCTTTTTAAAGTCCCACCCCTGCGTGTCCAGCCTCGCTTAGTATGGCCATTACTTTTATAGTAAGGAACCTCACTAATGATTGTGGTATTATTAAATTAAGGCTATGCCTTATTTTTGGAGAATTTCAAAATTATGCCATATCCTTAATTTTCAAAAGTTTAACAATTAAGA